GGTCCTACCACCAGTAAGAAATGGGATTGAATTGTTCCTCCAGTAAGCCTCCAGCATCCAGGCTGTAGACATTAAAATTAAATGTAAATTCCGTCTTCCGCCTTGAGACATTGGATCGAAGTACTAATTGTATTTTGTAAACAGCCATCTACCGTTAAAGCGTTGATTCGTGATTGCTTCACATTGGAAATAGTACGGATTCTGATAATCGTGTAGGCTCACAATACGCACAAATCAACACTAAGAACATATAAATCATTGAATATTAGGGTTTTTATGCAATAATACTTATGAATAAAGATCTGATTATTAATAACTTTACACAATGACGTACCGTTAATTCGTTTCATAACAAAATTGATATCTTAACGTTGTGTTCGAATGCCGCAGGCAAGTACAAATTTTTGTAATGAAATACGTACTTAACAATTGTTCACGATTGACTTCCACGGTGAAGGAATAACATCGTGTAATAAAAATCAAAATCGGCAAAATAATAATTTGGGTAATTTGCGTACTGGTGGTAGAACGTCTTGTTAGTCCGCACGAGTAGGTACCACCACCCTGCCTATTCCTGCCGTGAAGCAGTAATGCGTTTCGGTTTAAATGGTGAGGCAGCCGTTGTACTGTAAAAACTGAGACCTTAGGACTCATATCTCAAGCTAGGTTACGTCGTAGACGTCTATGGGCTCCGGTAACCACTTAACACCAGTTAGGCCGTGAGCTCGTCCACACACCTAAGCAAAAAAAAAATTAAAAAAATAATGTTTAAAACAAAGTTTACTTAATTAGTAGTAGTCATTAAGTAAAGTTTTTTTTGTAAACAATTAATTTTTTACGTTTTTTTAATCATATTTACGAGTATTATGTTAATTTTGTTATTTTTATTACTGTAAGCCGTTCGAATAAATATTCATCATATTCGATATGTCAGATACGTTTTCGTGGTCAAGGTGGACTATGCTGTTTATTATTCGAAATTTGAAAATTGCGTTAAATGTCGTCGATTTTTTTATATAAATTTCTAATTTAGGTTAAATTGTAAAAGTAGTTATAATTATGTATCTCTACGAATCGGGAAAACCAAAGAAAATACTAAGGCATTTGCTCTTTAGTCTTGTGCCAATTAATATATTTATTTAAACAATCATCTATCTCTGACAAAAGTGCTCATCGTGTTTTTATATTCAGACTGAATTATTTCTATATTTTCTAATATTATTTCTAACCCTGGATAGCATCCTAATTTCGATTATAAAAATAAACAATACGTACGTACAAAAAATAACATCACATATTCAACATCACATGTCAAATTAACACCAAATGCTATTCATATTAAATTGCTTAGCCCTATAATTAGAGACATTCGATTTGCGTTATATCACGCCTCGCCAAAATACACGAGATAAACTCTGTTGGAACCGCGGCTTACATAATTGCTTCATTCAAGCTCATTTGACTTCTTGGAACTTTCGCAATAAATAAATTTAGAAACTAAGTGTCTAGGTACCACCACCCCGCTTATTTCCGCCGTGAAGCAGTAATGCGTTTCGGTTCGAAGGGTGGGGTAGCCGTTGTAACTATACTGACACCTTAGAACTTATATCTCGAGGTGGGTGGCGCATTTACGTTGTAGATGTCGATGGGCTCCAGTAACCACTTAACATCAGGTGGGCTGTGAGCTCGTCCGTCCATCTAAGCAATAAAAAATAAAAAAAATACAATTTGTTTTTTTTACCTACGTCATCGTTGGTAGCTTAAGGCGCTTTTCCAACTACGCGCAGACCGGTAGGCGAGCTCATGGGCTCAACCCGAGAGAGTTGCTAGGTAGCACTAACCCTAGGAAGATCGGAGTACTTCGCTGAATCTACCGCAGGATCAGAACCGAGACCCCCTCAGAAGATCCGCCGAGAAACTCAGTGAGTTATGTCTCTGAGCTAGTTCGAACTCTTCGTCGTAAACTACTGTGGCGGTAGCCATCATAAAACACAAGATATTTGACAAATGCCTGAACTACGCTTACGACATTTTCAGGATAAGCAAATATATACAAGTTCCGAACACCAACATTCGGATTGTCGGTCTACCGAGCAATATCATCCGCGAGTTTCTCGCCGGATCTTCTCAGTGGGTCGCGTTTCCGATCCGGTGGTAGACTCTGCGAAGCACTGCTCTTGCAAGGGTCAGTGTTAGCAACACTCCGGTTTGAGCCCCGTGAGCTCACCTACAAACGTTAGGGTGAAGCTGAAATAGCCTCTCAAGGCTATCAGCATAGGTAGGAAAAAAAAGAAAAAAAAAAGGCCGTTCGAAAGATCTTCCTTTCGTCGTAAACCTACATCGACGAGTTCGACGAGCACGGTGAACGGTGTTCGAAGAGTCTTAACTACGATTTGCTTCACTTTTATCAATCTACACACAACTACATATTGTGACTACCGGTAAATCATATTTCGACTACCTTGATTTCTGATTGACATTCACAATATTCACAAACCAAATCGTGCCGAAATCTCGTAGATTTTATTCTCATAGTATTAAATGTTTTTGTGGTATTTGACACGCATATTTTATCAGTGAGAATTCGAGTAAGTGCATGATTTATTTTGCTTCACGTTAATTTCTTCGAAACAATTTTGATCTTTCGTAATATTATATGTAGTTCAATTAAATGTACTTCATTTGAATTTTATGCATTGTATGCATAACAAATGTTTCAATAATGAATATAAAAAATTAAATTACATAAATGCAACGAACATTAAAGATTTTTTTTTATTGCCTTAATGTGTGGACGAGCTCACAGCCCACCTGGTGTTAAGTGGTTACTGAAACCCACGTCCGGTGCATTCGTATATAGCGATGCAACGGTGTTCGAATCCCGCAGACGGGTACCAATTTTTCTAATGAAATACGTATTTAACAATTGTTCACGATTGACTTCCACGGTGAAGGAATAACATCGTGTAATAAAAATCAAACACGCAAAATGATAATTTGCGTAATTACTGGTGGTAGGACCTCTTGTGAGTCCACACGGGTAAGTACCTCCACCCTGCCTATTATACTGAGCCCTTAGAACTTATACGTTGTAGATGTCTATGGACTCCAGTAACAACTTCACACCAGATGGGCTGTGAGCTCGTCCACCCATCTAAGCTATAAAAAAATTTTTTTTTTGTTTTTTTTAACATATATATACGATAGCCTCGATCAAAATCGTCAAACTTAGCGATTTATTTGGACACGTTAGTGCGCTGAACGTGAGCTGTCCCAAAAAAAAGGTTTGATCACACGTCGTAAATTCAAATTACGCCATATTTAAAAAAAGGTTGCGACATTCCTGAAGTTCAGGTCACGTCACTAAGGTGAGGATTAATTTCTACATTTTATAAGAGATAATTTAATTTTATGTACGGATCCCTTTCATTGTTCAACATTTTCTTAAGAATAATACAATAACCATCTAGAAAACAATGAGTTCATAAAACTACCTATAAAAATATCTAATGGGAAAAGTAAAATTTCATAACGTAGATGAGCAGACCAGATCCAATTTAGTTTCAAGTTTTTAATCTTATTAAAATAAAGACTATAATTCTGCAAACAAGAACCCTTGACGACACGACAACGGGTTTTTAAAAACAACGACCATTTTATCTTGAGATACATATTTACGTTTTGCATAAATCTCCACGTCTAGCTCAAGACTACACACACTTTGCATTCAAAATACCTATACATTGAAATTTCGAAGGGACAGAAAAAATAAGAAAAACCAGTGTTTCCCAAACAAATCAATTTAGCTTATCAATTTAGAACTCGATTATCCATTGTCCCTCGTAAACAATTATCACGTAATCTGTATTGCTTAGTGAATTGGAAATTAGCGGAGTTGTCAACCAACAAAGCTTTTGTACAGAATAAAGTCATTAGGGAACATGGGCGAGCGACACGTGACAACTTTATTCCAGGGTAATTAGGTCAATATATTTTTTTGCTCTAAATGGGCAGATGGGCTTAGCCCGCCTGGCGTTAAGCGATTACCATCCTAGTAATTATAGTTTGAATAGTACCATCCAATTTGAGACATGAGGTCAAAATGTCAGTAGGATTGAATAGCAGCTTCATTTTCCTTAAAACTGAAAAGCATAGCTGCTTTGCGGAAAATTTAGGCACCTCGAAATAGTGTATGAAATAAATTCATAATGAATAAAATAATAAAAATTGTAACGCAATTCTTTAATTCAAAGCAAACGGTTCGTTCCTATTTTTATGAGGGAGTTTTGTACTCTTGACGCACGTACCTTTTTATGTTATTTGCATGTACCTAAACACCGACCATAAAAACTTTTGAAACGTTGTACACGAATGATTTTACTTTACATTGTAGGACTAATACGAGTAGGTACCGAAACATTTTTCTTCTTCATAATATCTTTCATTAGAGGTGACACTTAAATTTCACGCTGATGGGAACTTTTAGTGCGTGAGTAATTTCGCTGTATGTTTATTTTGGATATAATTCACTAATGTGCGACTGTGCACATAAGCCACGCCTTTTACTTTCAGCTGAAACATTTTAATTCAAGAGCAGGTCTAGCAATATCAAAGACTGATACTATAAACTGTAGACTGTTTAAATTATATTCAATTCATGATCTTAGGAAAATATTTACAAACAAATTGAAAGTCTGAAAGTAAAATTCAACTATAAAATACACAAGCGTATGTTTTCTTTAGCGATAAATAAAATTTAAAATTACATATTTCAAAAGTTGATATTTGCTATTCATTAATCAATTTTTTAGAGAGTTTTAACTGTAACAATGTTTAGATCAATATTACCTCAATCTAGATAAAGGTATCTATTTATTTTTATTTTTTTATTGAAGTAAATCTCATATATGAGATTCTAAATAATAATCTCATATATAAATATTCATATCTCATATATTAAAAAAAACCTCAAAATTATCAATTTTCAGAAAACAACTCACCTTTCAAATCATATAAAGTAACATATAACCAAATAATCACCAAAACAATTAACAAACAACTTTCCACTGGCGTACGTTTATTTTGAAACGCGAATAAAAAAAAGTTTAAATCTGTTCATTTAAACTATCACTCACTTTATTCATGAGCTACGGATAATTTGGCGATGCTGAACAGAGACGACGCGAAGCAAAGCGGCCAGTCGACACGCTCAAAATTTTCGTCTGTAATGGTTCGACCCTCGGGCGCTAAACGTGGAAACGCCGAGACTTGGGGCGGGCGCGCGCCGACAGTGCAATCACGTCAAATTTTCACTGAAGAAAGCGATAGTATGCATACACACGCGTATTAAACTATTTTATTCGATGCTATTCGAGTGTTTGAATTACATTTATATGATTATTAAATATGAATCCGTATATATAATTAAAAATATATATAGTATATTATTATATATAGTATATATGATAATATACTATATATTTAGTATACTAGCGACCCGCCCTCGCATCGCTTCGGAAACATTAAATTTTATTATTGATAGCCGAGTCCCGCGATGTACCCGAGGTTAATTTCGTACCGCGGGTGACGCCACGGGGCAAAGCTAGTCTAAAAAAAGTAGCATAAGTTACTCCTTACATCATCAGCTACCTATCTGTGAAAAAGTCGTAAAAATCAGTCCAGCCGTTCCAAAGATTAGCCGGAACAAACAGACAGACAGACCTACAAAAATTGTAAAAAATGTTATTTTGGTATGTGTACCATATATATATTCATATGCATGTAGTAAAAAACGGTTATTTCAATATTACAAACAGACACTCCAATTTTATTGATATGTATGTATAGATTATTATATATAGTATATATAATAATATACTATACGCATTTATAGTGTATTATTTTTATTGAGCAAAGTAGAAACTAAAAATGCTTAAGGCTCAAAAAAAACAGTTTATCGGCCACGGAAATTGTGAATAAGTTTCAAAGAGACTGAACATTGATGATTTTTTTTTTTCTAGAAGTCTCTTAATAAATTGTAAGGGAACAGTAAGTGTAGTACAAAAAGAAATCAACTTTGTGTTTTACCTCAAAACCCGTCAAAGAATTCAATATCAATTTCTCGTCCGATTGATTCTACTCTATTCTCATCGTTTACTTGGAAAGATTCGGACCTTCAAACAAAACCACTATGCTTTGCCTTTTTTTCCTCTAAAAATGATCATGCAGAACCTATTTAGAAGTTCTTAATTGCTTAAGATTTTTCTAAAGCCATATTCAGGTAAAAGCAATAGGCAGCGACTTGGCTGTGCATCTGGCATTGGTATCCTGCATGAGCGACGATAACCACTTATTTTCAAGTGGGCTGTATTTTTTTTTATTGCTTAGGTGGATGGATTTGGATGGTGGTGGATTTTTTATTATTTAAATATAAATTTAAAGAAAACGATAACACTTGAAATACCTAAAGCATGTTAAATTTGTTAAGATCGAGAGGAATGTTATACTAATTTCATTTCCGATTTTCCTAAAGCAAATAGAATATAAGGAAAAGTGTCATACAATTTGCAATCATACAATGTATGCAGCCCTTAATCAAGTTTATTAACGACAAATATTGATTTATCATCTTCGCGTGGGTGACACCAACCTATAAAGCCTCAATCTCAACGCCCACTTGACACAGATTTATTTATCTAATCGAGGAAACACCACGGATAGTTAAGTCATTTTCCTGGTTCTCCTTTGTCATGGCTCAATTTATTCACTATCGATTGGAAAATTATAATAATAGTTATCATAAAGTGAACCCATTTAATTTTTTAAGTTGTAGTAAATGAATATGTTAGTCTGATGAAAATGAGGGGCTTGGAACTGAAAATGCTTCAAGAATATTAATGAACATTAAGTGAAGCTTAACATTTGTGTACGCCTACTAGTTCATATATTTTCACAAGCTATCGGTCCAACTAACTTTAAATAAATACTGAAGCCCGCAGACATTACAGCTGACTGTAGAAATAGGCAAAATCATTGTACATTCTCGTGCAATCACAGAAAACGCCCTAACGCCAGTTATTAAACTAATTATAATATTTATGATTTTTATTGGTCTATGCTTTCCTTTACAGGGGAAGTGACTCATGAATATGCGATACGTATTTCACACGAATAATTGACACTCTCCTACAGAATTTGAATATCGCCATAGACCGCATACACGTTCTATACTAAATAATTAATTAACTATTATAAAATAACTAAATAATATTTAGTTAATCATTACCTATTTTTACGCTGTTACTTATTGATTACTGGAGTCTCTATATTACAACATTAATATGTCGCAAGATTCTATGCCAGTGTTCGAATCCCCCAGGCAGGCAGCAGATTACAATTTTATTTCATACTTACGAATGACTTCCACGATGAAGGAAAAAAGTCGGATGATATAAATCAAACGTGCAAAAATCTATCTTGCATACATAGTAGAGATAATACAAATTCAAATTAGAATGTAATAAATCCTCAACAAATAATATTTACTAAACAAGTCCTATTTTTCGACTTTTCAGTGACTAATTGATATGATTTACAGTAGAAGTTAATTTAAAGTATTTTTCCAAATATTTTTCGTTATAACTTTTCCAAAAGCGCTTGGATAAATAAATAATCTTTTGCTGCAAACACAGATCGCCAAAACAATAAAATAACTGATGAAGAAAACAATAACAATTTTTTTTTTTTTTTTTATTGCCCTTGTAGGCAGACGTGCATACGGCCCACCTGATGGTGAGTGGTTACCGTTGCCCATGGACTTCAGCAATGCCAGGAGCAGAGCCAAGCCGCTGCCTACCGCTTAATACTCTCCACAAGCCTCGTTTGAAGAACGACATGTCATAGCGCTCGGGAAACACCGTGGAGGGGAGTTCATTCCATAGCCGGATGGTACGTGGCAAAAAAGATCTCTGGAAACGCACTGTGGATGACCGCAGTGGCTCCAGGTAGTACGGATGAACTCTAATGGCGGGCGGTGCGATGGTAAAAACGAGATGCCGGTATCATCTCGAACAATTCCTCAGATTTGGACTAGAGTGTCATTTAGGTACGATATTTTTCTATTTTTGCATAATATTTATTAGTGAATATCAAGTTTAATACAAATAGAAAATAGTTGGCTAGAGTATTTATTGTAAAGTATCTTTAGCGATCATCGAAATACCAGTTGTTTCCTTCATCGTGATAATGTTTTGGGAATTTGAAGATAGAAATGCTTTAAATAACTTTCCAAATTATAACGGGTATCGAACTACAAAGGAGTTGAACTTGAACGATCAAATTAAAAATCAAGGTTATTGTTTAAGTTACGATAGGAGAATTCAGAGAAAGCACGAACTAAAATTAAATGGTCAATGTAGGAAATTCGTTTTGACGTCGACTAAAGCTCTTAATTTGCTGTATTTAGCCATTGTCCTATCGGTACTATTAAATTTGCAGAAACCAGTCATTAAGCACGTTCCTTTCTTGTAAACTAGTAAAAACAAGTAATATAATATATAAATAATATACCTAGTCCAGTCATTACTTCTGTTACAAATGAAAATGCATATTTTTTATTGAAGAAATGTAATATTATTAAAATTTATACCTACATATTTAATAAAGTCTCAGCAAAAAATAAAAAATATTCTATTCGAAATGGCCACCTTTGGCTTTTACACAGGCCTTTAATCTATTTGGCCACGAATCTATGGATTTACGCACAGTTTGCAAGGGAAATTTCGCCACTACTTGCTCCAAAGATTTTTTAAGACACTTAATGTCGCTGTGTCATTTATAGCAGGCCATGTCGTCTAAAACTGACCATAATTTGAAGTCTAAAGGGTTGAGGTCTGGGTTAGATTGGGGCCAGTCTCTTATAAAGTCCGGAACGTTGGTTTCAAGCCAGGCATGGGTAGTTCGTGCCTTGTGACCAGGTGCAGAGTCCTGCTGGAAAGTTCACGGTATAGTTTTAAAAAGTGTATTACTGAGAGGTTTCACAACATGATCCAAGGCTGTATCTTGATACTTTGGCTGAAGTTTTCACTCCTTTTTCAGAAAAATGTAGTTTTGTGACTCCTTGACAAGACACGCCCCACCAAACAATCACTAACGCAGGATGAGGACCACGTTGTACCTTTCCGACCATTTGAACAGCTTTTTTAGAACTCTGAGCGTACACTTTATCATTTTGCTTTTTGTAGTGTTCTTTAATCCAGAAAATTTTTTCATGGGTAACGAGGATTTCTGTCCTGTATATCGATGATAAGCACCAAGCTTCACGTCTTGTTTTATAAAACGCGACAGAGTCCTAGCGGGAATCTTCGTTCCTTCCGATAAGATTTTTTGCTTCCTAATGGGGTTTCGACAACTTCTGGCTTTAACAGCATTAACAGCCTTTGTAGTTCTAACAGCACGCGGCCGCCACGATAAGTGTTGTTGTATCTGTTGATAGTTCGATATACGAACATAAGGCTGATAACAAACTTTTAAAGTGTTTGGAATATGACCGATGGCTCCATACCCACTTTGTGCAAGGCGATCACTACAATCCTATTTTCTTTAACACCCCATTCCATATTGTAATTTGATAATGAACACGAAAAAGTGAAATGGCGCAAAATCGAAAGAGGTTTTTAAAGTAATATATGTGTTCCAAATTCAAAGTAATTAAAAAGTTGAAAAAAAATAAAAAGTAAAGTATTTTATGTAACAGTATTTATAGCCAGACTAGTTACGAGTATAACAATATGATCATATTATGCACTAACCAACCAACCATTCCGGAAATACATTTAAATTTTATTCGCTAGGTACTAATTATTTTGCTGTAAAAATAAGATTTCGCAAAGCGAATGTAAGACGCAAAAGGCTAAATAAAAACCCTTTGATCTTGAAACGATAAGTGCCCGGTCGTTTTTGTGATGCAATGAAATTTTCGTGTACGGTTCGCAACATAAAGGCGTTTATACACATTTCCTTTGATACTCTTGAAGGCATAAGCAACTCAAAGTAGCAAAATCGAAGCCGATATTGGAGTTTGTTATTGTTTTTAAATAAAAAGTCAAGCGATTTTCTTCCTTATATACTTATATAAACCTCCAAGGTACTCGTTAATATAAGGACAAAACAAGGATGTTAGTGTTGTTGTAGTTGATTTTATACATAATACTCTTG